GTTGTAAGGATTAAAATCAATTGGTCCCTCCTGATTATTACTTTTATGTCGAGGTAAAAAGTTCACGTGATATATAGCGAAGGGAGAAAGATAGAAGCCTGATATATTGGAATCAACAGACCAAACTCTATGGTTTATAAAAATAGCCGTAATAGATTAAAAACCCTCTCCGTGATTCGTTTATTTTAGCTCAGGTTTGTTTACCTCTCCTGGGTATGCTGGCAAATACTTCGGCAAAACTCAAGTCGTCCATGCTTCCTGGTCGTAAGTTTATCCCTCTAGAGTTCAGGCCAACGTCCTTTCTTGATATTTGCTTGATTTCCAAGAGCCTTTTAACTAAACGGACAACAAACAGACACATAACAACCATCATGGCTAATAAGACAATCTTGGTATGTTTCGGTATGGTGTATTGAATACATTTGGTTTCGTAACTTTTTGCTACAAATGTGCCTCCAGATGTTACACTGAATGTTGCTTAGTTTTAATATTCATCGTCAAAATATTATCATTTCCGTCATTTTACATGCATCAGTTAACGCATTTTCTTACAATGCCATTAATTTTGTCTGTTCTATGTGACAACAAGTTGCCTTTGCATCATGTTTTTAATTCATGATGGATTACACCAAATGTATCCTTGAATATATGGGGGAACGTGGAGTAGATGAGAATGGAAGATTCTAAACCAAAACGATTATCAGATGATATCACAAACACGATTAAAGATAAATTTGAGTTCTGGTAAAAAAAAAGAAAATGAATTTTCACAGGATCAAACGAAAGTTTGAAGTTCAAGATTACAAATAAATGTCATTGGTCAAGCAACTTTTGTAGGAAATGAATACATGCAGAGTAATGAGCATAGAAAAGATAAAGAAATCAAGGTAAGTATAGGGTCGACACAATTTGTGTAGTCCCATATACATCTTTCTGTGTACAGTGCTCATTACTTTACCAAGACTGGGCCAAATTTATCATGATTTTGATGACTCTAGAACCTTGCAGTTTACACCAATACTTACATGCTACATGATCAACTTTTTCTGATCCATTCCACACCTTTTCTTTCACAATGCAATCGCATGACCAGAACTCAACTTTATCTTTAAAGGAAAATCTAACCTTAAAAGACAGCTACTCTAAATGAAAGCAGACAAATCATGGAATCAGATTGGCAAAAGTCAAATCGAAATCGGACAAACAATTCGAATGTTATGATCTTGTTAAATGTGTAATCACTGTCCACACGGGCACTTCAAACTGGTTGAACCGGTCTTATGTCACTGTGACGTGTGTCGGAGAAGTTTCAATTTGTTCCAACGCACAAAATGACTAAAGTATCATTAAATTATGGGTTATTCATTGTGGTCTTTTATTTTAGAGATCCTATAATGATGTACTATCCATCGTATATTCTAAGTAGTTCTCCAAGGGCGAAGGCATTTAGGATGAAAAAAGACATTAATGATTTCTATTTTTATACACGACCAACGGGAGAAGGGTCCGAGGCTACGTCACAGTTCACTGAGCAAAAATGAACAATAAAATAGAAATGCAAAATGAAAATGAAATGGCTTCTGCTTGTTTTTCTAGCTAGCGCGCTTGTCTAAACTAAATAGATTTAAGGAACTGTATTCTTAGCAGTAAGCCCATGTGATACCCTTAAATCTCTTCTGCTTCAGGAGATTAAGAATAATATCGGCCAATATTTTTGTTGTTGCAGTGTATATGTATTTTATCAGTATGTACATAACCGTTTTCCCTCTCTTTCGATCTGCCCCCCCCCCTTCACCCCCAATCTCTTTCTCCCCCCCCCTCTCTCTCTCTCTCTCTCTCTCTCTCTCCTGTTCACAAACTGTATGTTTACGTATATATGCATAAGCACTTGGCGTGTCATCAGTAACTCTACTGTTTTGTTATTCTTTAATATATGATATATGTTTTCTTGTGTTCACTTTGTATTTTTATTGTATATGCACGGCCTCATTGTAAAACAGCTTAACAGCTGAACTGGGCTTTTAGTACCGTGATTGAATAAATAAATCTGCAAATTTGTAAATTGTAATATTATATAAGATTAGTCGTAGAAAGTATACATGTACACGCTCTTCATAATAATGTAGATTAAAGTGTGATATCTCTTGAAATGTAAATTTGTCTTTTCCAACAAAGTACTCAGTAATATTCGCTAAGCTTGTACCAAGTTTATTCAATATGTTTCGGCTGTATTACCGCATCCCAAGTAATATTCTTAAGTTGTAGGGCTTTGAAAAAGTTCTCAGATAAATAGTCCAAAGAATATGATCGTAGCATCGGACATGAGAAACGAAAGTAAGTGTTTTTATTTTGTAATAGATTTTTTACGTTTTAGATATAAAAGTTGACTATTTGTTCTCAATTTTATTTATTCCAATGCCAATCTATATGCTGATCAAAATGATATAACCAAATTATGATACGAGCAAATGAAAGGAAAATCAGAAGACAGAAAAAAATGGTTGTTTACCTAATTCAATTATTATTTTATTAATTATATTTGCACTTGTAATTATATTCTAGAATAAATTTGTCAACACCATGCACTATTAAAAGCACGTAGAGTTTCGATGAGTATAGAACGCTGCATACTTATTATTATCATTATCATTAATGAAATAGTAATTACGAAGAGTGTTGATGTAAGTAGTGAAGGAAAAAAACAAATTTTAGCAACAATATTATCATAAAAAAGCTTTTCCCTTAAACATGGTAGCATTGTAAAACCCTGACAAGTAGTCGAGAAAAACAATATATTAATTTACATGTACCCTTTTTTTTTTTTTTTTAAAGTTAAATACTTTAAAAGGTTTGTTATGCATCTCATTAAATTAAGATGAAATCCTAATCATACGGGTGCTTAGTATAATATTTCATTACCTGTAAACATTTTATCTGGGATCTGTAAACAACATACACGAAAAAGGTCGTCTAAACCTTGAAAGGCAGCTTCAAGATCACCTGTCTCCTTTGTTCTTGTTCTTGTTCTTGTGCTTTTTTCTCTTTTTATTCTTTCCCCATTCTTTTTCTTCTTCCTCTTCTTTTACTTTATCTTCTTTTTCTTCTTTCCTTCTCCTTCTTCTTCATCTTTGTTTTCATTTTCTTTTTCTCTTTCCTTTTCCCCTCTTTTCTTCTTCTTCTTCTTCTTCTTCTTCTTCTTCTTCTTCTTCTTCTTCTTCTTCTTCTTCTCCTTTTTTCTCTTCTATTTATCTTTCTTTTCCCCTGCTTCTTCTTTTTCTTTCTTCCTTCTTCATGTTATTTTTCTTGTTCTTCTTCTTTTAATTATCATTATAATTATCATCTGTACTGCAATCATCATTTTCATCTGTAATATTTGTTGTTATTATCATTATTATTATTATTATTATTATTATTATCAGTGTTGTTGTTAATATTTTAATTATTACTATTATCATGACGTTTAGAAGTCTGTAATAAAAGAATATGTTATTCATGTTTTCCAAGCGCAAACAATTCTTCTTTGGTACTGAAAATGCTAGTCCAATTAAGAGCGTGACCAATACAAAATACCCTAGATGTTCAAGATGTCATGTGTGGAATTGTGATTATCATTCAAGATTCAACATAAACGAATCTAAACCCCTTCTATTCCCTTTTCTAATAATCGCTTCCATCCTACTTGATTTATTGTGTCCTTCAGCTCACACCTACAATCCTCTCGATTTCACGACGCAAGCCGCTTTCCAATCCCTTGCTAATTCCTTAAATCAACGCCGAGATCAGAAACCGTCTTTGTGATATGACGCCCTCTTCGACTAGTTTATTCGCATGTTGGCTGCGTGTTTGTTGTTTGTGTGTTGGTGAGTGCGTAAGACATTAATTTGATCGACATGCATCCGTCTCTCTTATTCCCATCGGAGTGCGCCGAGTGTGCGCAACTGACGCAACTCGTCTGTCTTCATTCGAGTCGAAGGCTTTCCTCAGTTATGCGCCACTTGGGTGTCTAACCCCGATATTGAATCGTCGCTCGCTTGCTCACAAGCGGCCCACTCGCCACATCCATTTTTCCTCGACCGGATACTTTGGAATTAATCGCTTTGCGGAGGACGATGCAATTTGTCTTACTTGTTTTTTGTAAAGTTCTGTACAAATGCCATATCGTATTCACGGTACACTGATAAACAGCACTTGAGGATCCCCTTGGTATTTCATTAGCTTTCGAGGAGATAACTTTCTGCCATAAATTGACTTGTTTCCAATAAAATAACTTGCAGCCAAGGAGAACGAGGCTGTTCATCGTCATCTGAATGAGCGGGTGATTTCGACGATAGAGAATCGCGGAATATTGTGCAGTGTTTTGGAACATGTGAGGCCCACGGCTACCTTTATATATCTTTCTTCGAAATGTCGATGAACAGTTAGCTTGTGGCTTATTTATCTGGGAATTACTGGAGACAGAGGGCGAAAAACAACGAACGAGACAAGGCGAAGGTTTCAAACAACAAATGAGAGGTTGGCTGGGACAAAGACTGAAAGTTTTTTCGCATCAAAAAGAAGAAAGTTTTGAGGAACAGTGATAGCAAAAATTGATCCCATCTTGACCAAAATTATATGATTAGTAATCTTGACGTCAACTGTTCGCCGCTTGATTCTAGCTTCAACGAATATTGTTTTCTCAACTCTCTTTTCTGCCACTACGTCTGTCTCACACTTCATGCACCGACAACCCCGCTTTAAAACGTATCCAGTATTCATAAGAATGTACCCTTATAGGGTGATGAATATTATGTGAACGCCTTGGTCAGGGATTACCTGCCAGTATATTCATAGTTTACACGCCTCCGGAATCACGTTTCCCTTTTAGCTCTGAAAATGTGCGTCATTGCTAGAGGGTAATGTATTCGATTTTGAAAAAGCACAAACATATCCATCACCTACGGTCTACCCTGTATGTGGATAAAGACACACTAAATTTAAATGCAAATAAGTGAGGTTGACGATGAACAAGAAATGTCTACGTTCGATTGATTTTTAATAGGATTGCGACGAAAATAACCCACCTCATCAACCGTGAAAATCGCATAGCACTGGGTCGATAGAACTTAAGAGGTTAATATCTATTCTAGATTGCATTTCAACTTTGGATTTGTGAGTCAATGTGCAGCGTCTTTGAATGATTTGAGTATATGTTCTAACCATGGATTAGCACATGCATGATTCTACATACACTTTACAAATAATTTTGAAGTTCATTCGACCGTGGAATTTTGAATCCGTTTTTCTTGCGCTCCCAAAATCGAACCATGTCGGATTCGGAGGAGCACTACCGTTTAGTGGTCATGGGATCTGGAAAGGTAGGTAAAACCGCAATAATTCAACAATTCATCAATAATAAATTCGAGGAGAAGTATAAAGAAACCGTGGAAGATCTACATTGTCGAGAATATCATATTAACGGACATAGTATTAAAGTAGATATTCTAGACACTTCTGGGACATTGCAATTCCCAGCTATGAGGAGATTGTCCATATCAACAGCGCACGCTTTTGTTTTGGTCTATTCTATTGACGATTCTGCGTCGTTTGATAACGTTAAACAAATATACAACCAGATCCAGGAACAGAGAACAAACTTCGGTGATATACCTATCGTGGTCGTAGGAAATAAAACCGATCTCGAGCTCCAACGTCGGGTGGACATCGACGACGCCCGCGTGACTCTAGCGCAAAATAACTGGAACTGCGCGCACCTTGAAGCGTCGGCAAAGGAGAATTCTCTAATACTGGACATATTTCAGAAGCTTCTACAGATGGCGAAGATTCCCATTGCTAGGGAGTTGAGCCCCGTGTTGAAACGGAGAATGAGTGAGTACGGTTACAAGTCAAGGCAGCGGGGAGAGAGGAGAAGTTTCAGGGAAAGCGACAAGGATTTGTCAAGAAGTCGGAGCTTGATTCGGAGATCAGCGAGACCTAAAATGAAAGCAACGGACCCTAACAAAAATGACTGTGTCATCTGCTAGCTGTGCGGTCATAAAGAGAAAAGTCGGATTGTATCTATATTTGTATTGATTATGCGCTGTGTCCTGGACTGTGAATGTATAAGATGGATGGGTGTGTGATCTGACGAGTGGTATGTTAGGCTTCATCGAGTGTTGCATTTCTCCATGACTGCAAAGATGAGCTCTGCCTCATTTTGATTGTGAAAATCTTGTTGTTTTTAATGTGTAAGGAAAATGCATTTTCAGTTCTTCCACCATTTGCTGCAAGATGAGGAATGGAAGCTAATGATAATGATTAATCACTTTAGAACTTCTGTGTATAATGCATCTCATAATAATAATAATAATAATTATAATAATCAATATAATGACGATAATAGTTATTTATTTCTTACCGAGGGTAGCCTCATCAGTAGTTTTACTGTTCTCCCTGAGGACCCTGCAATCATATCATTGACTTAATAACTTCATTTGGAATGACAGAAGAAGTCTACTATAAAGCAGACAACACGTGTAATAATGGTAATGGAACATTTGGTACAGGCTAGTTTAATGACCTATTATTCAGAAATTTTCGAGGAAAACTAGCCTCATTATCCTCTCACCTTCCTCCAGTGTCCGTCTGGTCAATTTTTCAGGTAATTATCATCGGGTATTATATGGGGGTTTAGGCATTGGGGTGAAGGGAGAACGAGATGTGAAACCCCACAATGTGCAAGAACCGTAGTAATGATATCAATTAAACTCGCATACTCACTGGACCCCTGCCTATAATGAGAGAAAACTAGAGAGACAAGACGAATTTACCATAACTGCAATTGATTTAAGCCTTCAGGGATTTCTCACTGTGGGGACTGGGAACCATGGCAAAAATGCCCCACGGGGGAGTATATTAACCGATGCGGTATATAAAAAGCATTGCAACCCTTTTTATACTGCTTTAAACTTTATATCTTACAATTCAAAATTAAATAAATAAATCTGTTAAGAATGAAAGTAGTTTCACCCGAAGATGATTTCTGTCTACAGGGCTGAGTCAGTTAAACCACTCCCATGCGGATTTAAGGAAGCGTGCGCTGCGCAAGAAGCATCGTTAAGAATCCGTGCAAATTAAATTAGTTTCTTCTCTGCACGGATAAGGTTTACAAGCCATGATGGGGGAAATACACTCTTGGCTCGAGATATGATGTTCATGCCTCCGGCGTTTGTTCTGATTTCGATGAGAAACAACCATGAAAGCCAAATTGTGTTTTGTATTTCCACACGGATCTATGATATGTCGATTTTGTAGCATCTGTTGTTGCCGTTATGATAAATGTAAAGAACGAAATACATGCTGTATGTGTATTTTACCATTAGCATATGGATATGCCCGCGGGACTCGCTAAAACATGTATGGTTTACTTACCAAAGGAAAGCTTAATGTTTGTATAATTATTAACAAACGCTGCTTCGTATACTTTGGGGTAGAGTCGTAGAAGCGTTTTTTAAATTTTTTTTTATCTTGATAAGAATATTGACTAAGGTATGGAATTTAATATCAAATCAATCGTCGCTTAAAGTAAACTGAATGTTTGTTTAAGGCAAACGATACGATGTTGTAAAGATTTGAAATAGAAACGTTATTATGCCTTGCACCTGTTATGTTTGCTCAAGTATCTTTTTCATTTGCTATTGTCTGAAACTTTGGAAATGTGATTAATTCATGAGGCGATGGCATTGCAAACGTACATAGTGTGGTTAGCTATTGACTTTATTGTGGTAGTGTGGACCAAAGATCTTTGACGATTGGACCAAGTTTTCCCATGGTTATATTGACCAAAGAATTTCCCACTTGTATGCTTCATCTCATTCCAAAAGTCTTATATTATCGTGTTTTTCCTTGCATAGTTTGAATATTTTCTCTGAAAGAGAAGAAACTATACGTATTAAAATCAGATTATTGTTTGAAAATTCACCATGCAAGCTAACTTTAAATACAGGCAACTCTTCGCCTCGAATAGTGGGTACATACAATGCATTTTTTTTGTGACTAAGGAATTGACAGAATTGTAAAACCATATTTTGTGATTTTCTTCTTGTAAATTATTACATTTCTAAAATGACGGTAAACAGATGAAAATGAAGGCAAAAACATATTATTAGATTCAGAATACAATGTGAATAACTATATGAAGTAGGTATTCGATATGGATTAAAACCCTAGACGGTCACAATGTTTGGAGTATTGTACATGCATGAACGTGTGACAGCAGTCAACTGTGTTGTTTTCAGGGAGGGGATTTAACTCCCTGCTTATTTCCCTGTTGCATCGGTCGACCAGAACCGGGTAAAGAAAAAGTGAAACAGCCCGCCTGGTTACCAGCTAGCTAATAACGCTAGAGTTTAAAAATTTTTAAGTGCGATTATATATTTATTGTCTTTCTTGCTTGCTTGCAGACGATATAACTGGATGAGTTAACCAACGTAACACTAGTGACAGCGTTTACATGTGTGTAGAGTCTCATATCAAATAGCAGTGTAGTGTGAATCGATTATCATTTTTTTCTCCTTAAAGATAAAGTTGAGTTCTGGTCATGTGATTGCATTGTGAAAAAAACGGTGTGGAATCTATCAGAAAAGGTTGATCATCTAGTATATAAGTATTCGTGTGTATTGCAAGGTTCTAGAATCATCAAAATGATAAGAAATTTGGCCATGTCTTGGCAAAGTTACAAGCACTGTACACAGAATGATGAGCACATGGCGAAAAAAACATACCCCCGATTTTTACGATGTTTCATGTCATATTTAGAATATGAAGGCATTTGAAGAGCCATGCTTTTAAGGGAACATGTTTAATCTGATGTTCTTCCACCCTTGCATAATAACAATGATAACGCTCACAAATTATTTTTTACCTCTTCCCAGAACTCAACCTTCTCTTTAAGGCCTGTGCATATGCGCTAACTCCTCCTATTGTTTAAAGTTGACGCATATCCTGAGCAACGGTTCGCTGTGGTGCACAAGGTGATATCTATAGTCCCACCCGTGGGTTGTGTTGTTTGTTTGCATGCCGGCATCTGGCAATTCCGACCTTCCGTCGCCCTTTACAATGTACACACCGAGTAGACATACAACTGGTGAATATAGACCAGAAAATAAAACCAGGTGTATTTTATGAATAGGGTTCCTCCTTTTACTTATCACGTGACCTTTTCCACGGGCCTTCAACGTAGGAAGGACCAAAGTTCATGTTTGGATATGTTAGACGTTAACCCTTATCCGCTTGTGTTTGGTAGGCCTGGCCATTCTCACCAGTTTTAATGGAAGACGGGTACGGACATATATTTATGAATTCCAAACACGTTCCACATTTTGTTCGATCTTTCCATCACAAATTGAAAAGTAAAAGGGTAAAATATTTTGTTTTATCCGTGCATGAACACACTACAGACGCACACACACAAACAAGCAAAGTAATTTAGATAGGAAGAATCGTATGAAAGGTATAAGTGATTATTTCATTTCTTTCACGTGAAGCATTCTCAAATATTACAATTAGGCCTTCACAGTACTAAAGGGATAAAACCTTGATTAGTCTGTGTCAAACGATGTGGATTTAATTGCTTTTTTGACAGCTGCAGAAATGTCATTAATTTAATTGGACCCACCTTCACCACATCTATCAAATTTACCCAGAGGTGGCAATATTCTAACACAAGTCCCATTCGTGCAATTTTATTGCACCTTTGGGATTAGTGCTCAGTTTATATTAAGGACGTAGGTCCCGTGCAAATCCAATGCCAATTAATTAGATAAAAAGATATTCGCCTTATTGAACCATTGTAGTGACAATGAATTTCTCATAGGGTATTAATTACTCTGTGGATTGCTTTAAAGTGTACCCCAGCCCCCGCCTAAAACACTCAATACTGAAAGACTTCTGATCAGTATAACTCGACAGGATAAATTTCACCCGATGTGTGTAACTTATCTATCATGTGGCAACTTAGACTAATTATGCTAATACGCCATTACTGGAATATTAATGTAGGAGAAGAAATAAAGGAAAAAAATAAATAAATAAAAGAAAAAAGACAATACGGCATAATATTTCGATTAAAGTCGATTAATGTCTTGCCAAAGGTAGTCCTCGAACCCCCACCTTGTCGATCGCGTTCTGGAGACATATCCACTAGACCACAGCACATAAAGTATGTTACATTATCAAATGATGAAATTATCATAATAATGAGATCATTGTACTGTGTTCAAGCATTCCCCAATGGAAATAAGCCCACCACGCAATTTTCTCGCACGAGGAAATTGTCCATAAACTATTCATTGTAATGAGCTCATCGTCCTCATCGTGTCTCTACTTAAAATAGACAGTAATTATACCGTTAGGTGATGGATGACGCTGTTGAGGTAACACTTCTTCATCTTCCATTTGTGCATAATACCATCGCATATTGTACAATATTTTCATAGATACCTCACCAGCATAACAAAGCATAACAAAGAAAACACCGCAATTGTACCTACCCGTTCTCTGTGAGTTCATATCTGTAGTAGATATCGTGTTTTCCGGAAGGTAATTCAGGACCCTGTTTCATAAAACTTGATATCAATAACAAGTTAGAAGCTCTGTTATAAGCTACTGAAATCGAGTCAAATGATTGGCTGAGAGCAAATTTGTCATATAAATTTAGCATTTGTTACAGATAAACGTTTTATGAAACAGGCCCCTGGTTTCACTTATCAATTAATTGCACTTCTGACAATAATATGACATGGATTTAAATAAAGTGAAGTCATATTACACCAGCATAATGGTTATATAATTAAAATCCTTTCTTGTATGACGCATTATGGTATAACGTCCCTACGCGCTTTCTAAGAGCTTTGGAAATTATTGCCCTAGCTTTAGCTTTTGCAGCCGTGGAGTGTGGCAAATTTATATTAACGTCTTGCTAAATGAAGTTAGGGTTCTGGCAAGGATTCGAACCCCGTACCTTGTGGTTCACAGTCCACCGAGAATTATCCACTGAACCACAACACGTCTACATATTACTCTTGGAGTGTATGAAATTGGTTAAGTTCACATGTTATCAAAAACCTACCATGCTTTCAGCTTTACAATAGACACATGCTGAAAGATGATAATAATGAGGCAATATAGATAACGCGAAGTCATATTACATGGAACAAATTGTTAATTTCTGTCTTCTTCAAAATGATATTATGTTCCGTTTCGTTATACTCAATCTTTGCAGGAATTTAATTGATCGATTCAATGATTAAATGCTCCCTCCCC